GACGGATTAGTCACTAAGGATGTCAGCATGATACACACAACCATAGACTAGTCTGCTCAATCTTCCACCTCAATAACCTTGTATATCACCCATTCGTTCTCGGAGTCCAAGTGTCATCAATCTTAAACTTTTCTTAGGGGCAAAATGCCGCGGCACCCCGGTATTGCTCATGGTCGAACTCACCAAGCATCGTGAGTACGGTAAGCTTAAATACTTACAAGACCTTCGGAAACGTTCGAGAATCCCCGTCCGTCCAACCCCAAGCTGACCACGATGACGGTCAAAAACACCAGCAATCCTTTCGTTCTTTCAAGCACTACCGCTCATCGACCTTGTCATACGACCAACTCTGCCGCCCGGCGCATATTAGATGCAACGAAAATCTCTGGACTGTTTGACCAATTTGGGGGGGGGGGGGTACGTCTCGCCTCGACTGCGGAGTCATCGTGGCGAAATGGTTCAAAAGGGCGTGGTTTGTAGGGTTTGTAAGTTTAGCGTAGGGTTTTGGAAAGTGTCCCCGCACTCACAGAAGCATCGTGTAGGGTTTCGACGGTGTCACAGAACTCACGCAAGCATAAGGTAGGGCTTCGAAAAAAGTGTCACAGCACTCTCAAAACTATCGGGTAAGGGAACAGGGGCTACTGCTGCCGTGCCCGGACAATACTTGAGAATATCTGTAGGTGCCTCAGGTAGCCTTTACTGACACCAAATAACACAATCAGGCGAACTGCCTGGTGGCAACCTAGGGAGTGCAAACAAGCCGACTTCTGTTTCGGGTAGAAAGGTACCTATCCTCTTGACAAGTACAAGGCGCTTGCAAGCGCGCGCCCCCCCCTGACGACAACAACAATGACCGCCTTCTTCACTGGTCTTCCCCGGTCCGACGGCAGCCCCTCGACGAGGCGGCTTGTGCCTCGAATGCTGTAAGCCGCTCCGACATAATGATCTAGGCGACTCCAGCCTTAGTTTGAGGCGACAAGACGTCCGCAGCTTTTCAGACAAATACCTTCGTGTTCCAAAAGGAGCATGCTCCTGCCTGCCGCTTTCAGGCGCACCATGCTTACGAAACGTTGAATCGTAGGCATATCATCGCCTGGTCATACTTGGGAGATGCCCAGGTGAGCACCCAAGAGCCGAAGAGAGGGGGGGCGCCGCATAGTAAAATGATAACGCCCCCTTCCCCCCCTCCAACAATGAAAGCTCACCTCTTGACTAGACTTCGGAGGGTGTTCGCGTGCGCCACAACGATCACTCTCTTCCCCGCCCTAATGTCCGGCACAACGTCAGACTCCCAGTACTCCATCACCTGAACATCGCAGACGGGGGAGGGGGGGGGGGGGGGGGGG